TATATATATATATATATATATATATATATATATATATATATATATCATTATCTAAGAAGAGAATGAGTTCATTAAAAGTTTGAACGTTAATTAAATAACACAATAATTAACCAAATGAAAACAACCAAAGAGTTAACTTGTTACAAACATCACTTTAAATACGTTACACAACTCCCAGCAATGCATCTGCCCTTGAAACAAGATATATCATCGCATGCTAATAAATTAACGACCTGTCAATTCTGTCAACGACACATCGGCATTGCTCGTGCTTGAAGCAATATCTTGATCAACCTGAATATTTATGTTTGGAACATCAAATTGCAGTCTACTCGGTGGTTTTTGCTCTCGTGATCGATCATTTAGAAGCACCAACACTTCAGACATTGTTGGCCTCTCAGCTGGCGACTGAGTGCACGTCAATGCTATTTCTATCATTTTCTTCACTTCTTGTTCTGTATACTCGTTCGGATCAAGTGTTTCATCAATAAGTTGTAAGGGCATATGATTCTCGTACACGTTCAAAGCCTACATACAACAAACAATATCGTAAGTTCAGTAGAGTGATGGAATGGTTAGATTATTTAGTGCCATTTTTCGTGAACATACATGTTCAAGAAGGTATTGATCTGGAGGGGACATGTCCAAGACATCAGTACACCTCTTGCCACTGATAATTTCAAGTACCACGATGCCGAAGCTGTAGGTGTCGGCTTTCTCAGACAACTGCCCGTGAATTGCATATTCTGGTGCTGTATAGCCACTGAAAGTCGAATACTAGTTATTTCATGTGATGGTAAATGAAAAGGAAAGTAAACCCGAAACTCAATTGTGTATTTGTTTGGTTTTGGCTCATGTTGGCTGTAAATTGACTTACAGGGTGCCAGCAAATCTAGTGCTAATATGGGTCTGATCCTCTGGTAGAAGCTTTGCAAGTCCAAAATCTGCAATTTTTGGCTGAAAATCGTCGTCTAGCAAAATGTTGCTGGGATTTATATCCCTATGGATGATCGTCACATGGTATTGTTCGTGGAGATAAGCAAGACCCTTGGCTATGCCGAAAATGATGTTACAACGTTGTTTCCATGTAAGTGTCCCCTTTCTTTCACCTGAAGCATTCAAAGTCGGTAAAGCATAACATCCGATTTAGTACAACAAGAGCAACATTCTAACTTCAAAGATTCTAGTTTTGTTTGCAGAAGAGTGCAACTAACCGTATAAGAACTTTACAAGGCTTCCATTTTCCATGTACTCAAGGACTAGAAGCAACTCTGGTCCCTCACTACAGCATCCAAGAAGGCGTATAAGGTTGCGATGATGGACATTACTAATGACTCGAACTTCTCTCTCGAAGTCCGCCTTTGCACTACTAACAAGTAGTTTCTTCACGGCTACCACATTTCCGTTATTTATTGTACCCTAATTGATGCATCACCAAAATAGAAGAATGAAACTATATATGATAGAATTCTCACATACATAGAATCGCTCGACAAGAAACTATTTAGTTTTTAAAAACTACGGAAACCGACCTTGTATACACCTCCAAATCCTCCTTCTCCAAGTTTATGATCATCGCAAAAGTTCTTTGTTGCCTTCCTGAGATCACTGTAACTATACTTCACTGGATCTTGCAGTTGATCATTTGGCCCATGTGAGTTACCTGGTAAATTGAAAACTTTTATGCGATATATGGAGGTGACAATCACATAAAAAAAACTAGTGGAACAAAAGTTCAACTAGAAATCAAAGGTCTAGAATTCCCTTTTAACAAGGACAAAAAAACTAACTAGTGGATCAAAATGAAGTTATGAGTTTCAATTAGGTATTACTTACTGATAAAAACCTAGAAATCGATTGAAAACTCCCGAAATTATGTCATTGTGTAGCAAGAATATGAAACTGAGCTACGGATAGATCCTGTTTACCTCTTGGTGTGGTTTTCCTCTTTGATCGACAATACCACATAAGTATAGCCACAAGAACGATAGTACTAAGTAACCCGACACCACCAACAACTCCACCGATAATGGCTCCCTTTTTGCTCGAACCTTCCAAATAAAAACGGATGTCATATAACACAAAAGATTGAGAACTTCTTTATTTCTTTAAGCAGACAATTAAGAGATCTTACCTTCCCGTAGAAAAGGTGTAATGATAGTTGTTTCATTGTTGGTGAAAAATGGTGTATTTGAGTACCTCATAAAACATCCTGTGTCAAGTGCCCTTGCATCAACAATACTAGGTAAGCAATTCCTTATGTTGGAATATGCCACCCTTAAGCAATCTTTGCAACCATTGTGTGCCAATGTTGGCACACATTGTGCTATAGCATAGACGCTTCTATTGCTACCACTGATATTACTGGATGAGGCTGCAAACAGATCCTTGATTCTAGGTGTGGCGATTGTAAGATTTGATAATAGTCCGTCTACCGCTGTTTGGAAACGTGTTGGTCTAGTTGCGGTACGGTTTCCACACAAGCCCACGTTGCCTGGCTGTGTCGCCTCATCGTAGAAATCTGTGGTCTCATACCTGTAATAAAAGATGATCATGGAGCATAAATTACAAACAAATTAATCCAGATCGGTTGTACAAATGGTCAAAACTTGGTTATGATAACCAACAATGATATAAAATATATTACTATAGAAAACCCAGAATGAAATTTTAATAATCCAAAGAATTATGAAAAATGGTGTTTACCTCAGAAAGCAGCCATCAAGAACAGCTCGAGCACCATCAGCAGCTGCACAAGCCCGTATGGCTAAAGTTGCATAATCATAACAAGCCAGACAGTCAGCCGTTGTCATATAACGTCTGCACTGTGCCATCACATAAACCGGCTCGGAGCTGCGAGCCTGCTCGCCGGTTGCAAAGAACGTGTCATCGGTGGATAACTGCCTTCTGACCTCCGTAAAGGTCTGGTTGAGGTTATTAAAGAAGCTCCTTGTGTTGGTAGTGTTCAGCAGGCTGCATGATCTAAGTAGTAGGTTAGTCTGCGGCTGGGATGTCACCGGAGTAATCAGAGATCCCATGTACAGAAAGGTGACCACCACCGCCTGCCACCCAAAGGACCACCGCATGGTCATTGCAACTGTGGTTCCTCTCATATTTTCTTCAGAAAGCGTTGGGGTTGAACCCCAGAAGTGATTATATTTATATAGTTTTAATATTGAAATAATCTAAACATCTATGATTTAATTATTGTAAAGATGAAAGCAGATGGACAACACAGATTTTAATGTCCCAGATGTTGTTATTACAGATTTATATAGTAATGGTGGCTGCTCCGGCTTTATTGCTATTAACAAATTATTCACTATTATTGTCATATCTACATTTACGGTGAAATAAGAAATTTCATCAGAGCCGTTTATCCAATTACTTATCCGATATATGTTTATCGATAGAAGTCAGAATTAAATAGAAATTACGGTTATATTAATTTATTTATTACTTCATATTGTTTAGCTAAATATAACCAGAAAAATACACATTTTATTTATTTATTTAAAATTGTAGCATTTCTTTCACACAACCAAAATTATGTGGAAGAAAGAATAAAAGTAAATTTTATATTATTTTTTTCCTGTGACATGCCATTTTTTACATAGCTAGACCACTAGCGGTATGAACTTTTTCACGGCTTTGGTCATTTGTTTGTCTAATCTTTTTGGTAAGTCCACGGGCTATTTTTGTCATTTGTCTTAATATTCGTGTAAATTTTTTGTATTTTTCCTTATGAAAAAGATATACTGCATTATATAGTTAATATCATATAAATATGTACACATAATCACAAGGACCTTTGTCTCCAACTCGTAGAACTCTGTCGAAGACCTCCATCCCCACTCTTTTTCCGGTGAATTCCATGCCCCATCTCCCTCCTCGCTTGGAAACCCCCAACCCCTGGGCTTGCACTTGATCTTATCCAGAACTCCGCAATCAATTTGTGTCTGTTTAACAGTCCGTATGCCGCCTTGGAGACCCATCCAAGAAAATATTCTTGTGTGGAGATGGAAGTAGGGAGGTGTTCATCGAAGATATTTTGTCGGAGATGGAGTCGTCTATCGAAGAAGATGGATGGGGCGTCCGGGAAGGGTGGCGAATCGACGAATCGTAGGGAGAAGGAGTTGGGTGGTGGGTGAAGGTGGTTGGTAACGGATGGAGGTTGCATTGCAGGACTGGAGATTGGAGAAATCGGGGTGGATAAGAGAGAGGGAAAAGACGGAAAAAACTAAAAAAAGACCAAAATATGTTGGTGTATAAAAAAAGATTCACCAAATGACCATTTTACTTTCGTTCTTAACAATATGATTAATGGTTGTTTTGTCCAAGGGCTAAAATCGTGAAAAATACATATCTCGAGGTATTCTATGTAATAAATTAAGATTAGGAATAATTCCATAAAAATATCATAGGGTCCAAATCCGTAATTTACTGAAAGAATCATGATAAGGTTGATAAATGTAGTAGAAGTCAAAGTCAACTCAAAGTGCATGTGAGCTTGGGTGAGGACATTTAATAGAAACATGACAACTCAAGAAGAATTCACAAGTCAAATGGCTTCACCGTTCCTGCCGCCGCCGCCGTAGTCGTCGTCGGCTATCATATTTTGCAAACTCACTTTCAAATGTTAAAAGTTTTCAAAAACAAGCGTTTTTATATAATTTTTTTTATTAATCTGGATATCCAACTCGTTATGCGAGTCGACTAATCTCAAGATGACCACCTGCTCTGCAGATAGCCCGGAGTCACCGCATATGAACTTCCGTAGTTACAAGAAATTTTTTATTCCTCATTGGATTTGAACCTGAGACATCCTGATACTTTTGACCTTTAAAGTCAAGCTCAAACCAATCAGACACTATCCTGATGATTCGTTTTTTATATAATTGAGGTAACATGCAAGAGTTTTATGCAATTAAATTAACGTATTAAAATATGTGTGATAACAAATGGAATATGTCACATTTTTAAGCTCAAAATTACTCTTGAAAAATGTCATTAAGCTTTATTGTATAAGTGGTTTTATCGTATAAAATATAGAGTTTTTAAATATATGTTTCTTAAAATAAGAATGGCATAAAAGACATTTGCTTTATTTTTATGTAAGTTAACCTTACTTTTTTTTTACTAAGTAGTATCATTATTAACACTAGTGTTGCAACCGTGCGTTACGCGGTGATGATAATATTATCTTCAAAAGAAATGTTATAAACTAATATTTGAAGTTCTTTTCTAAACAGATTTTAGGAAAATGTGTGTGACAACTACTCATAAACAATAAAAATTTTAAAGAGAAGTTGACAACATTCTTAAAATCGTATGCTAATTTAAGTTCTCTAACTATGCTCGAGAACGGTGTTGCAATTTACTCTATAAATGTTTGACTAATGTTTGTAGTTTGTTTAAATTGAAATCACAGTTTTAATTGAAATCTCATCTAAGGTGACAAAGTCACGATTTTAATTTTTATAACAAATTTAATTGAAATCTCATTTGAACTTACGAAAAAAAAAACATTTTGTAATGTTAGTGAAATTTTGAGCAGTGCGTAAGCTGTAGCAACAACAGTGGAAGTTCAAAATGATGCATGAAGAACTACATCACCAAACTAAGATAATGCATGTTTCCCATAAAACAATAAAACTAATATCAAATGGGGTCAATGACTCACATATCGGATATTAAACTAATAAAAATAAATACTACATTTTACCGTAACATTCTATAATATTTGAATTGTAAATCAGAGATGTGCATTAAGTCTTGATAGTAGTAACACCAAGACGACGGATAAATAACTACATCACCAAGTAGTATAATGGGCATTCCCAAATAAAAAATAAAATACCAAGTTGAAGAATCATATATTAGATATCAAACTAAAAACAAATAATATACTTGATCTTAGAAAAAACCTAAGATTCAGGACAAATATATAAACTAAAAACATGTACTATATTGATCTTACTCAAAAGGTCGAGATCTGAGAAAAATATGTTTGTTCCATTTTTAGTCATTTCTTTTTGTAGCAATCTCCTTCTTGCCGCTTTCATTTCATCATCCAATGTGGGATGCAAGCAATATTGACAAAAAAAGTTGGCTCATTTTCTTTTTGTGTCCATCTCCTACATACCTCTTTTATTATTTGATCCAATGTGGGACGCAAACAATAATGTGAGGAAAAAATGATTTATAATACTTAAAAGTTGTCATCAGATTATCCATGGTTATTGCTTTTACATGGATAAAGATAAAGATATAAAAATATATATTATAAATATATAAGTATTGTATTTACAACTATGACTTCTACCAATTTTATGATGTTAATTTATTTGTCAACCTTATGTTATTTTTTATATTAGTTTTTGGTATATATATATATATATATATATATATATATATATATATTAATAAAAGATGGTTGTCCAAAAAACTGGTCAACCTAAAAGTTGCATAAATTTTGTTAGTTTTGAAAGATATCCAACTCCTTCAAAATATTCACTTATTTTGTATTATTTGATTGGTTTTGATTTCAACCATGGTTATATATTTTGTATTTTTTATTTGTTTCTTTCTTTAATATATTATACTGATATTGACATTGATTGATGATCAATCTCAAATTCATTTTTTTTACTTCTTTTCAGATAATTACCTCCATCTTCGAATATATCATATTCTTATGGACTTGGGACAATACCTTAACATGTTGCTTCTTTATGTATAGGCTTATTTTATTTTACTTATGATTATATAATCAAGTTTAGTTATAATAAATATAATTGTAGATTCAATTTTAGTTATAACAAACTAAAACAATCAATAAATTGTCTTTTATATTATTTTAAA